CAGGAGAGTTTTGCCAAACATTAAAAGAAGAACTAAAACCTATCCTCCTCAGACTATTCCAAAAAATACAAGAGGAAGGAACACTTCCAAACTCCTTCTATGAAGCCAGCATCACCCTAATACCAAAACCAGATAAAGACAACTCAATGAAAGAGAATTACAGGTCAATATCCCTCATGAACATAGATGCCAAAATCCTCAACAAAATTCTATCAAAGCCGCTCCAGCAGAGCATCACAAAGATCATACACCACGACCAAGTAGGATTTATTCCAGGAATGCAAGGATGGTACAATATCTGCAAATCAATAAACGTGATACATCACATAAACAAATTGAAAGATAAAAATCATATAGTCATATCAATTGATGCAGAAAAAGCATTTGATAAAACCCAACACCCTTTTCTGATAAAAACTCTCAACAAGGTGGGAGTACAAGGATCATACCTCAACATAATAAAAGCTATATATGATAAACCCACAGCCAACATCATACTCAATGGGCAAAAACTAAAACCATTCCCTCTAAGAACAGGAACAAGACAGGGAAGCCCACTATTGCCACTCCTGTTTGACATAGTACTGGAAGTACTAGCCATTGCAATTAGACAAGAAGAGGAAATAAAAGGCATCTAAACTGGAAAAGAAGAAGTAAAGTTACCCTTATTTGCAAATGACATGATATTGTACATAAAAAAACAAAAGTCTCCATTAAAAAACTAATTGACTTAATAAATGTATTTGGCAATGTAGCAGGATACAAAATTAATGCCAAGAAATCTATGGCATTTCTATACACCAATAGAAACAGAGACTAAAAAAGAAATTCCATTTACCATCGCAACAAAAAAATTAAGATACCTAGGAATAAACTTAACTATGGAAGTAAAGGACCTATATACAGAAAACTACATGACACTGAAAAAAGAGATAGAGGAAGACGTAAACAGATGGAAGAACATACCATGTTCATGGATTGGTAGAATCAATATCATCAAAATGTCCATACTTCCTAAAGCAATCTATAGATTTAATGCACTCCCCATTAAAATACCAATGGCATATTTCACTGACCTATAAAGAACTCTCCAAAAGTTCTTTTGGAACAATAAAAAATCCCTAATAGCCACAGCAAACCTCAGAAAGAAAAGTAAAGTAGGAGGGATCTCAATACCAGACTTCAAGCTGTATTACAAAGCCACTCTTCTCAAAACAGCCTGCTACTGGCATAAGAACAGACATATAGATCAATGGAATCGAATTGAGAACCCAGATATCAACCCAAATCACTATGCTCAGTTAATATTTGACAAAGGATGCACAAATATGCAATGGAGTCAAGAAAGTCTCTTCAATAAATGGTGTTGGGAAAATTAGACAGATGCATGCAAAAGAATGAAACTAGACCACCAACTTACACCATACACAAAAATAAACTCAAAATGGATAGAGGACTTAAACATAAGATGGGAAACCATAAAAATACTAGAGGCATCCACAGGCAGCAAAATCTCAGACATATGCCAAAAGAACTTCTTCACTGATACTGCCCCTAGGGCAGTGGAAGCTAAAGAGAAAATAAACAAATGGGAGTACATCAAAATAAAAGGCTTTTTTATAGCAAAAGAAACCATCAACAAAACAACAAGAAAGCCCACTGTATGAGAGAACATGTTTGCAAATGTTATCACTGATAAAGGTTTAATCTCCAACATCTTCAGACAGCTTACACAACTAAATAAAAGGAAGATGAATGATCCAATTAAAAAATGTGCAATGGCCCTAAATAGAATATTTCCAAAGAAGAGAGAAGGAAGGCTAAGAGGTACATTCAAACCTGTTCAAAGTCACTAATTATCCGAGAGATGCAAATCAAAACAACAATGCGGTACCATCTCACACCTGTCAGAATAGCCAACATCAATAAATTAACAAAGAACAAGTGTTGGCGAGGTTGCGGAGAAAAAGGAACCCTCATGCACTGCTGATGGGAATGCATACTGGTGCAACCACTGTGGAGAACAGTGTGGAGTTTCCTCAAAAAACTGAAAATGGAACTCCCATTTGACCCAGTAATCCCACTCCTAGGAATATATCCCAAGAATCTAGAAACACCAATCAGAAAGGATATATGCACCCCTATGTTCAAAGCTGCACAATCTACAATAGCCAGAATTTGGAAACAGCCTAGGTGCCCGTCAGCAGATGATTGGATCCAAAAACTATGGTACATCTACACAATGGAATACTATGCTGCCATAAAAAAAGGAATTGTCATCATTTGCAGCAACCTGGATATAACTAGAGAACATCATGCTAAGTGAAATAAACCAGTCAATGAAAGAGAAATACCATATTACCTCACTCATTTATGTATATTAAAGAACATTATAAACTGATGAACCAAAAGTCAGATATAAAGACACTAAAGCAACAGCATACTGTCAAATTACAGCTGGGAGAGTAGGGAGATCTGGGGGAGATTAGAGAGCAACCAAAGGTCATGTATACATGCATATAAATACAACCAATGGACACAAAACTCTGGGGAGGGAGGGTATGTATAGAAGGGACAGGGCAATGTTAAAATATGTACACAGATAATAATTTAATTTAAAAATTTAAAAAAATTTTTGTAAGAGAACAATGTGGTACAGAAAAATCTTTCAGACTCCTCCTCAGGACTTTGTCAAAAAATCTGTTTTTAATCACAAAGTAATTAATAATTTTAACATCACAGAATATAAAACAGTGTGAGGCCCGTCTCCCAAACATCAGCCACATATTCATAGCTGAAGAAATGACAGTGGTAACTAATAATTCAACAAATGGAAATTAATTAATTCTATTAGAGTATAAAAATAGCTTGATTGCCACACAAGTTATTCTTAGGAATTTAAATAAGTTGCTGGGTGGGAGTGTCCCTCCCTCCCTGCAGCACATGGATATCACTCTTGGTTGAATGTAAAATCCCTGAGAAGTAGCTTAACCTGGTGTCCCTTGTGACTCACATCCTAACTCATTCATGCAACACTGAGTTAATTAGTGGCATCCTTACAGATCTCCTCGAGCATCCGAAATACTTAATGTTCTAACTCTAACTGCCACCCCCAAAATCACCAGTAGTTTAATATAACTAATTTAGTATTTATAAAAATAAAATATTCTAAACTCAAAATTTTCTGTTGGGAAAGTTTTCCCAACAAATATATAAGTGAATCATAAGGGGTTGCACCTGTGAGGAGCCGGCAGAGAAAAATTGCTATATGTTTTTAAAAGTGTTAGAGAGTGAGAATGTTGGAGCATGCTTCTAGAGAGGCCATGGACTATGCCCCAGATAGAGTTATCAGTGTGATACCAGGCCAAGCCTTGAGATACAGTCTCATGGCCCCTTCCTAGAATGTGGGCCTTCTTTCAAGGGCAAAGCAGGACTGACTCCGTTTTGTACTGTGTCTTCCATCTTGTGTAACTATGTCTCCGACATAACTCCTTTCTGAGAAAAACCACAAAATGTATCAATTAATCAACCCACCCTTAAATCAGCCAATAGAAATGCAGAGGGAAGTAACCCAGCGTAACTGGACCCTGGCCCTCACCCCACCAATCAGAATCAGCCAACTCAGTGGTCTGAGCACCATTCCAGCACCCAACCTTAAACCCTATAAAAGGACTACACTTTCAGAGCTCAGGGCTCTCTGCATCCTGCCACTATGTCAGTAGAGTCAGGAAGACCAGGCTCTAGTTTGAATAAAGGCACTTTTGCTTTTGCATCGGACTCAGCTCCCTGGTGGTCCTTGGGAGATCTTAAAATCTGGGCATAATATTTGTGGGCTCATCCAGGAACCCCAAGATCCCGAGGGACCTCTGATCCAAAGAGCCTGACTGGCCATGGTAGGTGTCTGTTCTTTGTCTCTCTTGTGTGAGCTCATTTCTGAATTTCTGGTAATGCCCGACACGGCCTAAGTGGACACACTGCTGGAAGGCCACAGGTGGGAGGAATCGGGAGACATTCCGATCCTCCTTCAGGAGAGACGTGTATTCCCCTCATGAAGAAAGTGTATTCCCCTTAAACTTCTGGGAGGAGGTGGGTTGCTCTCACCAATTGGCGTGAGGCCGTCGTCTGATTTTTGGTTTTGCTTCCATGGGGTTGGAAGGCTGTTCTTTGGGGCCATTTGTTTGTCTATATTTGTATTTCTCCGTTTTATTCTGTGGACATATGGGAGTATTTGTTATCTCTGTTGTTTAAATTGTTAAAGATAGGGCAGACCTGCTGTGATGGTCTGCAAACGTTTAAACAGTGACGATGAGTTATTTTTCTCAGAGATGTTTGCTCTCTATCACAGTAGAGGGAATCAGCTCATTTAGCTAATAAAAATTTCTCTCTCTGTTTATATGTTTGTATAAGTAAGGGTTTCGTTTGCTATGATTTGTAAATTTACTATATTAAATTGAAATTGTAAGTCCTAAGGTTAATTTAAAGGTATACATTTATAACATTTCAAGGAACAAAGAACTTTCATTTATGGCTTTATTATCTCTTTTGGTAATTAGAAACTTTCAAGGAAAGGGCGGAGAGATTTACAGACCCTGTCCCTGCCTGTGACATCATAGTCTAACATGGAACTAAGGCTGGAGTTATTATTAACCATCTAAGGACCCCTAATTCTAATAGCATCCATAACTGGATTAAAGGTCTTTTCTTTAGGAGGCCATCCAGGCTTTCAGCTTGCAAGAAATCTCCCTACACACCCTTTTTTTTCATCCTCCATATCTTTCCAGACTGACTAATAGTCATTTTTTCACAGGTCAAAACTCAGCCTTCAAAAGGGAGGACTGCTACAGCGGTAGTCTGTAGTTTTCTCTGAAACTCCCGCTGTTTCTATTCTCCCCTCCGTAGAAATTGTCTTATTCTGATTCACAATCCAAAAGAAAGACAAGCAACTGGACTAGGGGACAGGACAGGGTGGGAGGGGATGGTTGGAGAAATTAAGAGTGGTAAAGGAGTGTAGGGGCTTAGAGCAAAGATCTATGAGGAAAACAAGAGTTACAGATTTAAATGAGAAAAAAAAGTATCCTTAAATGTAAAAAACCTGGTTATACAGGATCTCAGACCACTTTCCTTATTTCCCCTGCTAAGGACAGAGTAAATGGTTAATGCAGAGAGGGGAAGGGGGTGTCAGCAATTGATTATGAAGCTGGAAGAGATAGGGTTTTGTTTATTTTTACTGGCTGCAGTCCACTCTGCTAGTCTTAGGGTCTTATCAGAACTTCTAACTGCCCTGGTGATTTAAAAGTTGACTAGCAAACTCATCCCCCAAGAACCAGATAAAAGAAGGAAGCTTGAGTTGGCAAAGTTGCCAAGTCTGACAAAACCAGTTTGGCTCAATGGATAGAGCGTCGGCCTGTGGAATGGAAGGTTCCAGGTTCGATTCCAGGCAAGGGCATGTACCTTGGTTGCGGGCACATTCCCAGTGGGGGGTGTGCAAGAGGCAGCTGATCAATGTCTCTCTCTCATCAATGTTTCTAACTCTCTCTCTCTCTCTTCCTCTATGTAAAAAATCAATAAAAAATGCATTAAAAAAAAAGTCGCCAAGTCTGCCTAACAAGCTCAAAAACTAAACTTATTTCTGACACCTGGCACCACCCAGTCTTGATCAGTGGTGGAGGAACGGTCTCAGAACTGTTTGTCTCTATTGGCCATTTAAATGTGATATTATTAGAGACACAAAATTGCGGAAGAATAGACGGACAGGTTCTGAGCCTTGTCCTGAAGCAGAAAGAGAAAGCAGCTGAGGGTCACGCTGGGAGTGTTTGTTAGCAAGCTAAGGGACAGGTGAACTCCAAGAGAATGTAGAGGACTGCTGATCAGGGTGCCTCTGACAGGGAAGCACCCACTGCAAAGCTGGGTCCCCTCCCAGAGCTACCTATGGGCTTGGACAGGGAAATCTCTCCATCTTTAAAGGAAAAGTGGATCTTGTCAGAGGCCTGAATATTCATAGCCGCAGCAACCACCGAACAACTGTGAGCCTCAGAACCCCAGTCCCAGGAGGCGCAAAAACTTGGACTCAAAGGAGCGCTCAATGAAAAGGTCAGATTTCGAGGAAGTAGAGTGAAAGACAGAAGCCCACGAGCTATGCAGAAGCTGGAGGACTGGGGCAGCATTTACAAGGAGAAACCCGGGGCTGTTCGGCTGGTGTATCCCCTTATTATATAACGGGCTCCTAATAGGGGAGATATCTAAAGAAAAACACGTTTTAATCTGACATGGAGGAACATCCGGAGAATTACAGGGGAGTGCAGTTGGCTCGGACTTGTACCCCAGCCTCCACAGATCAGTATCATAGAGAGAAAAGAAAAAAGCTAGAGGGGCTTTAGAGCCCTGGAAGTCAACCCAGAAACACTGCTACCCAGAGGCTAAATCACAAATTGACCCTAGTGTAATAAAAAATCAAAGAAAATCCCGCTAAATATCAGGACCGGATTACAACACTGAGGAGCAGTGAAACGCAGGGAACTGCAATAGTGTCCTGACTGGGAAACTGGTGTGCCAAACAGAATGATAGAGGAAGTGAATGACCTTTACTACTACACATTTTATTTAATTTTTTAATTTTAATTTTTTAATTTTTGTTTTTATTTTCATTATTTGCAACATCCACTCAAGAAACTATTTTTTGCCCTCACTTGATTTTACCTTTTTAATTAATACATTTTTATTTGTAATTAGCATTATAACTACTACTATTTTACCTTTTTATATTATTTACTTTTGTTTATTTTTATTATTATTTGTTTAATTGTCATATTATTTGCTCTTTATGTAGCTTCGAGATTATTGTTCTAAAGTCTATTTTTACCTTCCCTTCACCAATGCTTTATTCTATATCAACCCTACTTTTATGCCGTCACTCTCTTCCTAACCTTTCCCCCGTTAATGTCCTGTTTATCTTAACCCTTTCTGCTCTAGATTTTCCCTATTCTTTCTGTTTACCCCCTGCTAAAATTTCACCCTATTTCTGTATATTTAATATCCAACCCCCTGCTCCAAGCCCATACACACCTCCCTTTTCGCTGTCCTTAAAAAAACAAACAAACCCACCACAAACAAACAAACAAACAAACAAACAAAAGAAAACAGTCTTTCTATCATTTTGTCGTTGTATGTTGAATGTTAACTATATTGAAGTTTTATGCTTTTGTGTGAGATTGTTTTGCTTATTCTTTTTGCTTGATTGTATGTTTTTGTTAGCTGTGTTTTAGCTGGCTTTTTACTTCTGCTTTCCCTTTCCTCACTTGATAATGGTTGGTGTAAATTGTATTAATCTCTAGATACTTGTTGCTGGCATTTGCTGTGATTAAGGGTTGTTCTATTGGAATTTGCATCTCATATATTGGTTAGTTTCTCCTTTCTCTCTTAGTATTGTTCTAGTTTTTCTATTTTTTTCCACCTTCTCTCAACTACATTTTACCACTCCTTTTCTTTTCTTTTTTTTTTTTTACTCTTCTATCTCTCCTACCCCATTATTTGCCTTTCTCTAATGGTCACCTTTATTGGAGGTTATTAATATTATAAACACATTTCTGTTCAGTGCCTTGTGTGTTGTACCTGGTTGTGTTGTATTTTGTGCCTTTAAATCAACCAGAAGGGAGAGAACTACATAACCAGACATCCTGCAAAGAGGGATCATGGGGAGACAAAGAAACAGCCTGCATATGAAAGAAAAGCAGGCATCACCAGAAAAGGAAGTAAACGAGTTAGAGGCAAACAACCTACCGGAGCAAGAATTCAGAGTAATGATCATAAGATGGCTAAAAAGAATGGAAGACAAATTTAACAATATGAGTAAGAACCAAGAGGAAATGAAGACGAACCAAGAAGAAATGAAAAATGACATCGCTACTGTAAAGAACTCAATAGAAAGCATTAAGAGTAGACTAGAAGAAGCAGAGGACTGCATCAGTGAGCTAGAAGACAAAATGGGGGGAATACCCAATTAGAGCAGCTTCTGGAGAAAAAAAATTAAAAAGCAGGAGAAGAGACTAAGGGAACTTTTGGACAATACAAAACAAAACAATATTAGAATAATAGGGGTTCCAGAAGGAAAGGCAACTGAGGAAGGCATAGAAAAACTGTTTCAAGAAATAATTGCAGAAAACTTTCGTAAGATAGAGAAGAAAAAAACACACACAAATCCAAGAAGCTCGCAGAATCCCAAGCAAAAAGAAACCAACCCAAAAGACCAACACCAAGGAACATTATAATTAAATTGGCAAACATCAACGACAAAGTAAGAATCTTAAAAGCAGCCAGAGAGAGTCAGAAAGTTACATACAAAGGAACCCCCATCACACTAGCAACTGATTTCTCAATGTAAACTCATCAGGCTAGAAGGGAATGGGATGAAATATACAAAGTCATGCAAACGAAGGGTCTGAATCCAAGAATACTGTACCCAGCAAGGCTATCAATCAAAACTGAAGGTGAAATCAGGATTTTCACAGACAAAAACAGACTAAGGGAAGGTATCATCACCAAACCAACAATGCAAGAAATGCTAAAGGGTCTGCTGTAAAAATAAAGAAATAGGAAGCAAAGAAGGAATAGAGGGGTATAGAATAAAAATGGCCACAAATAAATACCTATCAATAATAACTTTAAAAGTAAATGGATTAAATGCCCCAATCAAAAGACATAGCGTAATAGATTAGATAAGAAAATAAGACCCATATATCTGTTTTCTACAAGAAACACATTTCAGAAAAAAAGACGCACACAGACTGAGGGTGAAGGGTTGGAAAAAGGTTTTCCAGTTGAATGGAAATGAAAAAAAAGATGGGGAAGCAATACTTATGTCTGACACATTAGATTTCAAAGTGAAGGACATGACAAGAGAAAATGAAGGCCACTTCATAATACTAAAGTGAGCAATCCAGCAAGAAGAAATAACCATAGTAAACATATATGCACCCAATACAGGAGCACCAAAATACATTAAAAAAAAAAAAAAACTGCTGGAGGACATTAAGGGAGAGATTAATAGCAATACAATGATACCGTGTTTCCCCCAAAATAAGACATCCTCCGAAAATAAGACCTAATTACAGATTTCTTTCTGAGTGAAATATAAGGCATACCCCCAAAAGTAAGCCCCCCCCCCCAAGGCTAAACATGAGAGATTTGATCCACTGATTCTGAAAGAAATGGAGTCACAAGAAATTCATGAGGAAATTCAGGAATTGGATTGTTATGATCATGTTCAAAAGATGATGACATGATTGTCATTGAATAAATGAGTAAATTCTTGATACTGTAGGATTCACAGTTTATCTAGTTTGTGTTGACAACTACCGTACTACCGTACCGTATACAGGTAATAAAATTACTTTAACAATAAATGTGTACTGTATTCTTCTTCATGGAAAAATAAGACATCTCCTGAAAAGAAGACCTAGTGCAGCTTTGGGAGCAAAAATTGATATAAGACACTATCTTATTTTTGGGGAAACAGGGTAGTAGGAGATTTTAATACCCCATTATCACCTTTGGACAAATCATCTAAACCAAAAATCAGCAAAGAAACATCAATCCTAAATGACGCACTAGACCAGATGGAATTAATCGACATCTTCAGAACATTCCACCCAAAGCCACAGAATATATCAATATATTCTTCTCAAGTGCACATGAGACATTCTCAAAGATAGACCACATGTTGGGACATAGGCAAAGTCTATTCAAACTCAAAAAGATAGAAATCATATCAAGCATCTTCTCAGATCATAGTGGCATGAAACTGGAAATTAACTACAATGAAAATAATCCAAAGAAATCAAACACATGAAGATTAAACAACATGCTATTAAACAAGGACTGGGTTACCAGAGAAATCAAGGAAGAAATTTAAAACATCCTGGAAACAAATGACAATGAAAACACAACAATCCAAAATCTATGTGACACAGCAAAAGCAGTTTTGAGAGGGAATTTCATATCTCTACAATCCTATTGCAAAAAAAAAAAAAAAAAAAAAAAAAAGGTAACAAATTATATAATTCTACAACTGAAAGAGTTAGAAAAAGAGCAACAAGAAAAGCCCAGTGTAAGCAGAAGGAAGGAGATAACAAAAATTAGAGTGGAGATAAACGACATAGAGACGAAAGAAACAAAATCAAGAGCTGGTTCTTTGAAAGGATAAACAAGATAGATCGACCTCTAGCCAGGCTAACCAAGAAACCAAAAGAGAGGACCCAAATAAACAAAATCAGAAATGAAACAGGTGAAATAATAACAGACCCTGCCAAAATACAAAGGATTGTAAAAAAAAAAATCCTATGAACAACTCTATTCCAACAAACTGGACAACCTGGAAAAAATGGAAAGATTTCTAGAAAAATACAACCTTCCAAAACTCAATCAGGAAGGATCTAGAAAGCTCAATAGACCAGTGACATGGGGAGAAATTGAAACAGTCATCAAAAAACTTTCAGGAACAAAAGCCCAGGGCCAGATGGCTTCACAGGAGAGTTTTACCAAACATTCAAGGAAGAACTAAAACCTATCCTCCTCAGACTATTCCAAAAAATTCAAGAGGAAGGAACACTTCCAAACTCCTTCTATGAAGCCAGCATCACCCTAATACCAAAACCAGATAAAGACAACTCAATGAAAGAGGATTACAGGCCAATATCCCTCATGAACATAGATGCCAAAATCCTCAACAAAATTCTAGCAAATCGACTCCAGAAGAACATCACAAAGATCATTCACCATGACCAAGTAGGATTTATTCCAGGAATGCAAGGATGGTACAATATCTGCAAATCAAAAAACATGATACATCACATAAACAAATGGAAAGATAAAAATCATATAGTCATATCAATTGATGCAGAAAAAGCATTTGATAAAATCCAACACCCTTTTCTGATAAAAACTCTCAACAAGGTGGGAGTACAAGGATCATACCTCAACATAATAAAAGCTATATATGATAAACCCACAGCCAACATCATACTCAATGGGCAAAAACTAAAACCATTCCCTCTAAGAACGGGAACAAGAAAGGGATGCCCATTCACACCACTCCTGTTTGACATAGTACTGGAAGTACTAGCCATTGCGATTAGACAAGAAGAGGAAATAAAAGGCATCCAAATTGGAAAAGAAGAAGTAAAGTTAGCCTTATTTGCAGATGTCATTGTACATAAAAAACCCAAAAGACTCCATTAAAAAACTAATAGATTTAATAAATGAATTTGGCAATGTAGCAGGATACAAAATTAATGCAAATAAATCTATGGCATTTGTATATACCAATAATGAACTTACAGAAAGAGAGACTAAAAAAGCAATCCCATTTATCATCACACCAAAAAAAATTAAGATACTTAGGAATAAACTTAACTGAGGAGGTAAAGGGTCTATATAGGGAAAACTACAGGACACTGAAAAAAGAGATAGAGTAAGGAGATGGAAGAACATAGCATGTTCATGGATTGGTAGAATCAACATCATCAAAATGTCCATACTTCCCAAAGCAATCTATAGGTTCAATGCACTCCCCATTAAAATACCAATGGCATATTCCACAGACCTTGAAAGAACTCTCCAAAAATTCAGCTGGAACAAAAAAAAGACCCTGAATAGACACAGCAATCCTAAGAAAGAAGAAAAAAGTAGGAGGCCTCTCAATATCATATTTCAAGCTGTATTACAAAGCCTCTGTTCTCAAAACAGCCTGGTACTGGCACAAGAACAGACATATAGATCAGTGGAATAGAATAGAGAATCCAGATATCAACCCAAATCACTATGCTCAATTAATATTTGACAAAGGAGGCACGAACATAAAATGGAGTGAAGACAGTCTCTTCAATAAATGTTGTTGGGAAAATTGGACAGATACATGCAAAAGAATGAAACTAGATTATCAACTTACACCATACACCAAAATAAACTCAAAATTGATATAGGACTTAAACATAAGTCAGGATACCATAAAAATACTAGAGGTATCCACAGGCTGCAAAATCTCAGACATATGCCAAAAGAACTTCTTCACTGATACTGCCACTAGGGCAGTGGAAGCTAAAGAGAAAATAAACAAATAGGACTACATCAAAATAAAAAAGCTTATTTTACAGCAAAAGAAACCATCAACAAAACAACAAGAAAGCCCACTGTATGGGAGAACATATGTGCAAATGTTATCACTAATAAAGGTTTAATCTCCAACATCTACAGACAGATTATACATCTAAATAAAAGGGAAATGAATGATCCAATTAAAAAATGGACAATGGACCTAAATAGAATCTTTTCAAAAGAAGACAGAAGGAAGGCCTAGAGACACATGAAAACATGCTCAAAGTCACTAATTATCCGAGAGATGCAAATCAAAACAACAATGCGGTACCATCTCACACCTGTCAGAATGGCTATCATCAACAAATCAGCAAAGGATAAGTGCTGGAGAGGTTGTTGAGAAAAAGGGACCCCTGTGCACTCTTGGTGGGAATGTAGACTGGTGCAACCACGGTGGAGAACAGTATGGAGTTTCCTCAAAAAACTGAAAATGGAACTCCCATTTGACCCAGTAATCCCACTCCTAGGAATATATCCCAAGAAACTAGAAACACGAATCAGAAAGGATATATGCACCCTTATGTTCATAGCAGCACAATCTACAATAGCTAGGATTTGAAATAGCCTAGGTGTCTGTCAGCAGATGATTGAATAAAAAATCTATGGTACATCTACACACTGTAATACTATGCTGCCATAAAAAAGAAGGAATTCTTTTCATTTGCAGTGACCTGTATGAAATTAGAGAACATTATGCTGAGTGAAATAAGCCAGTTAATGGAAGAGAAATACCACATGATCTCACTCATTTATGGATAATAAATAACATTATAAACTGATGAACAAAACGTTAGATAGAGATACAGTAAAGCAACAAAGAGACCATCAAATTACAGCGGGGACGGTAGGGAGATCTGGGAGAGATAAGAGATCAACCGAAGGACTTTTATGCATGTATATAAGCATAAGCAATGGTCAAAAAACTCTGGGGAGGGATGGCATCTATGGTAGTGGGGGGTGGGGTGGGGATTGGTAAGGTATGTACACTTATAATACTTTAATAAAAAAATGAGAAAGAAAAAAATTTTGATGTGATTAATAATTATAGTACATTGTATAATCTTTAAAAAGAAAGGAAAATATTTTGTGGGCCACTTGGTCCTTGTGTGTATGTGTGTCAACTCTTAAGTTATAATTTTAAAATCAGTAATATTAATGGAAACACACTCAAGCAGAGGAGCTTTTAAGAAAGGTCAGGGAGTCTAATTACAGTACAGAGGTCACTGGTCCCCTGCCATGCCACGTTCGTCATCAGGAGGCAAGCGATTTTCCCAGAGGACCACCAGATGAAAACACCCTAGTGGGAGCACCTCCTTTGCCACCTGGGACCCATGCCATGCTCCCTGCCTCCGCCCACCCGGCATCCATTGTCCATCTCCTCCAGGGGTTGTTTTGAGTAGTGGTGGTAGGAACAAGGAAGGGAATTCCCTTGCGACTCCCTGCATCTCGATGAGACCCAAGAACTCCCAGCGACTCCTTGGGCACTTTTCACCGTGTTCTGTTAGGCGGCTTAAAGTTGCAGCTAGGAATTCTCCCATTCCCCTTTTCAGGCTTATCAGAATCTGAGATCCATTTGTATAGGGAAAATGTAGCATTTTAAATTTTAAGTGTCTGGAGGCCTGTGAACAGGGTGCTGGGCCTGCTCCCTCTTCCCTCTGCCTTTTCTAAATATTTTTAAATTATAGAAAATTTGAGGCATGGTTATACATAAAAAAAAAAAAAAAAAAAAAAAAAAAAAGGCCAGCAGCAAATAGGAAGGGATTAGTATGCCTATTATAGGAAGCAGGAGCACTGAAAGAGAGAATGTCTTGGCAGGTTAGCTAGAGAAGCAAAAAGGGAGACTCAGACTCCAAAGTTCTTTAACTTAGAGAAAGAGGACTGACAGGACTGGGGCTCCTTTCCATTAAGCCCCCAGGGTAACCTTACAAGTTGGGGCAAACCTGTTAGTTTCCTGGTGGACACTGGGGCAGCCTATTCAATCTTGACAGAGCCGATAGGACCCGTAACCTCTAAGAAAACATCAGTCCAAGGAGCCACTGGACAAACTGCCTGTTTTCTTTGGATATCAAGAAGGACTGTGGACCTCAGAAGAAACACGTACTGGAGGAACGCAGCCGCTAAACTAGACCAAAGTGGAATAACGGGCCTTTGAGGCCCTTGCACCTCTACTTGAGTGAGGTAAGAGGCATTGCCAAAGAGGTTCTCACTCAGACTCCAGGTCCCTGGAAGAGACCTGTTGCCTATCTGTCTAAGATACTAGACCCTGTGACAGCAGGGTGGCCAGCATGCCTCCGGGCAGTGGCCATCACAGCATTGCTGGTAAAGGAGACAGATAAGCAGACTCTGCGCCAGGAGATAGCGCTGACAGCACCCCATGGTGTGGAGGCCTTCCTTTGAGGTGCTCCAGAGAGATTGATGTCAAACACCATAATCTTCTTCTCCTGGACCAGCTCTGTGTCTGGTTCCATAAAACACTGGCCTTCAACCCTGCCAGCCTGCTTCCAGATGATCAAGAGGAACCCATTCATGACTGCATAGAGGTAACAGACGCAGTACAAACAGCTCACCCAGACCTGACAGATGTCTCGCTTTCATCATCAGATGAGGTACTGTTCACGATGGGAGTAGTTACATTCAGGATGGGATCTGATATGCAGAGGGAGCAGCAGTCACCCTGGACTGCACCATTTGGGAACAGTTCCTGAATAGAGGAACCACAGCACAAAAAGCCAAATGTTTTACCTTAATCCAGGCCCTTTGATGGGGACACAGTGCCATCCCCTGGGAAAGAGGGTCACCAACTGCAGCCAGAAATGACATTAAAAATAAGGAAGAGAGTTTAGCCTTATTAGAGGCCATCTGGCTCCCAAAGGTAGTTGCAATAGTGCACTGCAAAGGACATCAGAAAGGGGAGACAATTAAAGCCAGAAGAAATAGAGCCGCAGAGCAAACTGCCAAGGAAGCCACCCAAAAACCAATGGGGCCTTTACAAGCCTTAATAGCCCTGCCGGACTTCGACCTACGATGGACACCCTCCTACACCAAACAAGAGGAGGGATTGGCAAAACAGAAGCAAGCCATCAAAAGACAAATGGTTTGTGGATCCTACCAGATGACAGACTGTTGGTCCCAGAGGCTCTTGGTCAGACGTTAATTGCCCAGTTACACCAGGTTACCCACTTAAGCATCACCAAGACTTCTGAACTTCTGCAAGGCAGATACAACCAAGCCTAGATAACATAATTAAAAGCATAGTCATTAGAAGTACTGTCTGTGCACAGGTAAATGCTAAGCAAGGTAATAAGGTCCCCCTGGGAATTCAAGCCCCAGGAAAATTCCCCAGGAGAGCATTAGGAGGTGGATTTCGGAGATTAAACCACCAGCATCAGGGTACAAGAACATGCTAGTTTTTGTAGACACCTTCTCAGATTAGGTTGAAGCATACCCCACTAGGACAGAAACTGCCTCTATAGTAGTCAAGAAATTACTCCAGGAGATTATACCTAGATTTGGGCTGCCAGTAGTTATAAGATCATATAACAGCCCCACCTTTATAGCCAAGATATCTCAAAGTATATAGCTCAAGCCTTAGGACAGGCACGAGCAGGACTCTAAAACAGAGTTTAACTAAATATGTCCTAAAAACCAGTGAAAACTAGACCAACCTTCTGCCTTTCCGCCCTTTTATGGGCCAGGTGTACCCCCTACTGGAAAGGGTTCCCCCTTTTTAAGATCATGTATGATAGATTTCCCTCCATCTTTCCCAGGGTCAGGGAGAAACTGGAAGCTATAATTCATAACCATTCCCTTGCTCAAGTTCTTATAGGCTTTATAGTCTACCCAGAAAGCAGTCCAGAAGCATGTATACCAACTTCTGATCCTGTCCATCCACCCTGGTGACTCTGGGTAAATAAATTTACCACACAAGGACTGACTCCTACCTGGAAAGGACCATCCTGACAGCAAAGTTGACGGGATCCCAACATAGCTTCATCATACCTGGCTTAAGACAGCCAGGCAGAATAGAGAGTCCAGGACTCTTCGGACCCTCTAAAGATTGCTCCGGGCCCTCATTCTGGGCCCTTATCTTATAAATGGGCCCACTGACTTTACTCATCAAAGAATTAATTCTATTAAGCTTATTATCCTCATGGGTCAATATAACTTCCTCACCAACAATGACCCAAAAGAGTCAATGTTTTGACTCATGTACATAAAACAAGGGAGGAATGTTAGTGAGAATATTGGAGCATGATTCCAGAGAGGCCATGGACTATGCCCCAGATAGAGTTATCAGTGCTGACACCAGGCCAGGTATTGAGATACGGTCTCATAACGTAGGCCTTCTTTCAAGGGCAAAGCAGGACTGACTCTGTTTTGTACTGTGTCTTCCATCTTGTGTAACTATGTCTCAGACATAACCACTTTCTGAGAAAAACCACAAAATGTATCAATTACCCAACCCACCCTTAAATCAGCCAATAGAAATGCAGAGGGAATTAACCCAGCATAACTGGACCCTGGCCCTCACCCCACCAATCAGAACCAGCCAACTCAGTGGTCCGAGCATCACCCCACCACCCAACCCTAAACCCTATAAAAGAACCACACTTTCAGAGCTCAGTGCTCTCTACATCCTGCCACTGTGTCAGTAGAAGCAGGAAGACCAGGCTCGAGTTTGAATAAAAGCACTTTTGCTTTTGCATCGGACTCGGCTCCCTGGTGGTCCTTGGGGTATCTTGAAATCTGGGCATAAAAAAGTACCTTGTTATGATATTTTGGACAACTCTCTGGGGACTGATGCTTAGAAAATGAATACTTAGACTTATAATATAGTCTTAAAATTCCTCCTCAAATATAATTCAAAATTTTATACCATAAAAATCAAGTCATATTTACATTTGTTTGTTTAATGACATATCACATTAACCTTTAGTTTTTGAGGTAACTACACTTAAGAAGCTTCCCTGTTATTACATATGTTTTCTGTGATTTCCTTTCTAATTTTCTAAATATCAAGTGCAATCTATTCTGCTAAGGAGGAAAAAATCCAGGTCCTTGATATCTTTAGATAACACTATTTCTAGTACTTGGCAATCTACACCACTGCAGGGAGTTCAGTCTATCCTTTTGAAGCAAGTGTTTCCATTTTGTGTCATGCTAGCATCATTCAAAAGTAGTACAGAAAGTTCTTTCTTGATGAGAACATCCTGAGGTTGTCACTAGATAATCTTTTATTTCTGGAGTAATATTACTTAAATCCTTAAGAAAAAGAAAAATAATTTTTACCTTGTTAAAAAGACCATAATTCATAAGAATTTATGCAACATGTTTATTAACTAGTCATAATATAATTAAAACATGGTAGAAAAAGTCTCTTGAGTTTAAAAAAAAAAGCTTTATTTAGCATACCAAAAACATAGAGATATAAGAAAAACATTACCTAGTATAAACATAAAAATAGTTAAATACCATAATTTAATGTATACCAAGTGTTTAAAAGTGTGAAATATCATAATGAAATTTACACAAAACCAAGTTAAAGCAACATCTAGTTATCATATCAGATCATCAGTCTTTAAGTCATATTTAACAATGAATCAAAGACAGCATCAGTATTGTATTGTTCAATATAAAAAAAGAAATATAATTTACCTTAAACAGATACAATTAATTGTGATATTCAAAAATAGAGAGGAAGATAGTTCTAGTATTCTAGTTATAACTACTACATGTGTAAGTTTGGAAACCTTTCCACTGGAAGAACTCCCATTAAGCTCATTCTTTTATTTAAATTCAAACTGGTTGATTCAGTTTAATTACTCCTTAAGAAAGGCACTAAATATATCTGAAAAACTAAATCTTTATTAAAAATGATCAAAGGTGAATGTAGTATCTGTCAGGTAAGAAAGGCAAAAGCATAAAAATATATTTATTCCAGACAAGCCCCTTCAATTATAAAACATATTAAGAAACTCAGTTTATAAAACCAGGTGGCATAGCAAAAGGGTTTTTAAAATTGTAAAACCCAAACAAACAAATTCAAACCAAACTAACCAAACAAACCTAAGAGAATGCTTCTTGAAGAAAGTGGTATTTTGTTTATCCTGTCATCATGATGCCAATGCTGCCAGGAGGGAGACCTGTTACTGATGCCACTTATCACTATGGAGTAGGAATGCTTTCTTTAACCAATAGTCTGAAAAGCTGTGGCCATTGATCAGTTTAAGCATTTGGATTTTGTTTCAAGGATCAACACTGCAGTTCAGGTATCACTAAAAGGTAACATTAAGTCCAGTATCAGGTGTTTGAAATGTAAAATAAAGTTGCAAAAATATTTTAAAAAAAAAAAGAATATATACTTAGTAACAGAACATTCTGATCCTTTGTATAATCTTGTAATTCTGAAACTTTTGCTCTCCAGATCTCCTTATATTCTTAATTTTATTGGGGATCTGGGCGCCAAAGAGCTTTTGTTTATGGAGTTGACATCTATCCATATTTACCATATTAGGATGTGTACAAATTTAAAAAGTATTTATTTATTAAAAAATTAAAAAGTCCACTACGTGCTAACATAAATAACGTTTTAAATAAAATAGCCATATTTTCTAAAATAGAAATAAGATCTGAGGGAAGATGGCATTGTTTTATATTTTAACTATTTTGAGGGTTAGAATAAAAAGATAAATAATAGCTTTGTAATATTATAATAGTTTTGATCTCACTTATTCCCTAAAAGGGTCTCAAGGACACCCCAGAACTCATGGGCTGCACTTTTGAAAACTGCTGTTTAATCTAAGGTCTGATATTAATGACATAAAAATCTATACAAAAGGAGCCTTAATTTTCATTGTAGAATAAACCAAAATACACACACAAGTCACAGTATTAAACACTTCAACTTTAAGCTTTAACTAGAAGCCAAAGATCACCATGGCTAAATTCAAAACAGTATTGTCATTTCTGCTGAGACCAGGGAGAAGATTTATTCATTTTTAGCCCATGAAAGTTACAAAACCTATTAACTAAGCACACTTGTTCTATTTCTCTTTCTAACATTTGCTTAATCCTGTTTGTGTTAAACTGGCTGTCTCTTTAAGTTGGCACAGCCTTGATATAGACCAGAGAATGACAGTTTAACTAATAGCCTTCACGCTCAGGTCAGGAACATGTCATCCATTTATGGGGCAGCCTATAATATTTTATTTCTCATTATGTAAAAACTCAGAAAAATTTTAGGGGGATGGGGAGAAAATTCTCTCTTAAGGACAATAATAACAATGCTATGACCTCTTCATATCTTACAAATTGCTTTCATACACACCATATCATTAGGTCCTTTAATGTAACTGGAGGACAGGGCAAATGATTTTACTGCCATTTCAGAGTTAAGGAATTTGAGGGCCAGATATGGGACTTTCCTGAGGTACCATGGCAAGTATATTACAGAGAGGGATTACAATTCATGTCATCTGACTCCTGGTTCAGGATTCTCCTAAGCATTTCCTCTTCCTTTGGTTTCAGGGCAAGATTGAGGGAGGGGTCAGTGGGGATGGAGATGGAGGCAGCAGTGTATGATACTTACTAAACCTGCATTCCATTGCTTCATCCACTATTTTACCCACGACCAAGGAAGCCTGGGAGTGGCAGAGACATCTTTCTGACTAATAAAATGAATTTCCCACTAGTGACATAAATTATGGAACTTTGTATAAAAAACACTGTAGTACTTTTCTTTCTGAGCTAGTTTATATTGGCAGTTCATTCATAGCTGTTCACTCGGATCCAAAGGAAAAGTAAAAATCATGAAGTAAAAAAAAAAAACTGATGAAAAAAACCCAAAATGAAATAACAAGAACAAGATCTTTGTTAAGCTATTATAACTAGATTTATTGTGCATCTGGCACAACTGACTTTGCAATATTCCTCCACCAACTAGAGAACAATATAAAAATTACAATTCTCAATTTAATGGGAAATTGCTTCAATCATCTTGACACAGAGACTTCAGTTTATAAAAAAGCATTAAGAAAATAATTTTAAGAATTTTATTTTAACTAAATTCTTAGGTACTTGATGATTCTATGGTGGTAGGAAGAGTAGAAAGTAGAGTAAAAAGCAATGAAACAGTGAGAAGAAAATAATTGTTGTCACCAAAGAGCAATGGAGAAATCTTTATTCACTGTCATTAATACATATTTGTACTTTAGAAATTATTCTGTTTGCAGGAAATCCCCTCTACCAAGATGTTAATACAAATAGCATGAGACATTCAAAACTAGTAAGCAAACACTGTTTAATTGGGAGGTGGGACAGTCAACAACAACAAAATTCCCTCCTATAAAATTAGCCAAATTCTACTATTTACCAATAATTTTCTTGCTATACACTATAAGCAAGTTATTATTTACTGTCCCTTCCATTTATCTTCCTGGGATGTTCTGAAAATCAAGATGGACTACATGCATTTTCTTCTACTAAGGTAGTTGAAGAAAAAGTTTAACAAAAGCCAGTAAGAAACAGAGAACATACTAAGTTCATCTTATTTTCAAAATTGAACTGCATTTCACTATCTATTTCACAACTTGACAGTCTCCCCCCTCCCCCATTTTTAGTGAGTAATTTACAGGTGATTTAGACAGAAGTTAATGGCTATTTAACACATTGCACATATGTTGGGCTGATGTACACACTGGTATATATGCATATATGTATATATGCATGAATACACATACACACATATGTATAACTCATCATATCACATAAAGACCACTGTTTTCCCCTCTTCATATATTCCTATTACCTAAAATGAGCATGTATAATGATTTTATAGTAGGAACCAAAACTAATTAAAATCAAATCAGAAAATGTGAAGTGATATACTGTCAGAGTCCAATAAAATAAGTCAATGCATACTTATGTAGTGGTAAAGTGGTAGACAGTTGTTTTATTAGTATTCTAAAAATGATTATAGTAAAAATAAGTTTGCTGTTTCATTTGATGGTGGTGACCACAGGCACCATAGCAATGGCACAGGATGAGTTGGAATTGATGATGTCCTCATACTCCGGGGGGGGTCCTAAATGAGCTTCTGTTTCAACCCTCTGAAGGTTCATCTGTCCCGTGGCTTCCTCATAGGTTGGTGGAGGATCGCAGTTGGACAGGTGAGTGGAGACAGAATCTGAGCGCCCAACTACATATTCCAGAAAGCCTGGTGAAATTCCACTGCTATCAAACACTTCATCTGGTGGGGGAGGTGGAGTGATAATATTAAGGTGCTGAGGGAAAGGGATGTGATCTTCAGTCACTGTCTGTCTGCGAGTTTTGTTTTTTAGGAAGCATCTCCAGATTAGGAAAATGACAAGGAGGATAATAAAAAGGCCAAAGATTAATGGAAAGGTGAGGTAAAATTGAAACCAGTCACTTCCTCTGCTACTTTCACCTTGTTGCGCTTTTGTATAGGTGTTCCAAAACTCTTTCTGAAAGTAAAAGACAAAATTATTGAAAATCAGTATGATCAAAAGATATGAAATATCAAATGAACAAATGTATGGGGTCTACCAATATAATGAAAAAACAACAACAACAAACTGGCTTTCTTTGTTTAAATGACCTACAGTCTACATTTTTCATGAAAAGAAATTACAAATAAATCATAGTGCTCACTCTGAATCCTTCCTAAAATAGAACATGAGTCATCTTCAAGACTTGGAGTTATTTATAATTTTAGCTATGACATTTTATTTATTTATAGAATTTAAAAAAATATTTCCATTACATTTAACATACAATATTTCATTAGTTTAGGTATAAAACATAGGTATTAGGTATTTATATAACTTACAAAGTCATCAATCCAATAACTCTAGTACCTGACAACACACATAGTTATTATAATAATATTTGCTATATTCTCTATTCTATACTTTATATCCCCATAACTGTTTTTATAATTGGCAATTTGTACTTAATTTCTTCACCCTTTTCACACATCATCCTCAATCCCCCTCTCATCTGGTAATCATCATTTTTTCTCTGTATCCATGAGTTTGTTTCTGTTTTGTTTGTCCATTTATTTTGTTTTTTGGATTCCACATATAAATGAAAACGTGGTATTTGTATTTCTTCTTTTTAATAATTCTTTATTGTTGAAAATACTATATATGTCCTCTTTTTCCCTTCCCCCTGTGAAACCCTCCCAGCTCCCCCTGCACCCCAAGGCCTTCAGTACCCTATTGTCTGTGTCCCTGAGTTATGCATACAAGGTTGAGTACCTCCTACCAATCCACACTCCCCCACTTTCCCTATAAGATTCTGCACTCTATTCCATGCTTCCATGCTTCTGGATCCACTCTATTCATCAGTTTATTTTGTCACTTAGATTCCACATATGAGTGTGATCATGTGAAACTTGTCTTTTCCTGACTGACTAATTTCACTTAGCATGATACTCTCCAGGTCCCTTCATGCTGTCTCAAAGGGTAAGATCTTTCTTCTTCTTCTTCTTCTTCTTCTTCTTCTTCTTCTTCTTCTTCTTCTTCTTCTTCTTCTTCTTCTTCTTCTTCCTCTTCCTTCCTTCTTCCTCTTCCTCTCTTCCTCTTCCTCTTCCTCTTCCTCTTCTTCTTCTTCTTCTTCTTCTTCTTCTTCTTCTTCTTCTTCTTCTTCTTCTTCTTCTTCTTCTTCTTCTTTCTTCTTTCTTCTTCTTCTTTTATTAGAGGCCTGGTGCATGAAATTCATGCATGAGGGGGGAGGGCCTCAGCCCAGCCTGCACCCTTTCCAATCTGGGACCCCTTGGAGGATTCCGACTGCCAGTTTAAGCCCAATCATGCAGGGACATCCCTATCGCAATCCAGGACTGCTGGCTCCTAACTGCTCACCTGCCTACCTGCCTGATCACCCTTAACCACTCTGCCTGCAGGTCTGATTGCCCCTAACTGCCCTTCCTTGCCGGCCTGATTGCCTCTAACTGCCTCCGCCTCAGCTCTCACCACTGTGGCTTGGTCTGGAGGGATGTCTGGTCTAATTAACATATTATCCTTTTATTAGTATAGATGGTTACTGAACAGTGCATTCTGGGGAACATGGGGAAGTGGTCCGATGACTCAGAGACCAGGGTCATCGGAAACTGGGAGGTTTGGTCTCACTCAGCAGAAGATGGGCCTGGGATCATGGGCGAGGCCTGAACTGTGTTTAGGTTTGAGGAGCCTCCCTCCTCCAAGCAACACTTGCTCAGTGGACTCCCGCACAGCACTAACCCTGACCCGGGTTTAAAACTGCAGCGTTTCAATGTAGAGGATAAAGCTCCAACCAATGGAGCCACTTGGCTTTCTTTTCCTTTTTAATTTTCTTTTATTTTTTACTCTTTTTATTAAATCTTCATTGTTGAATGGTTTACATAGGTCCTCTTTCCCCAACTAACCTTTTCCAGCCTACAATCCACACCAGGCCCTCACCATCCCATTGTCTGTGTCCAGGGGTGATGCATATATGCACACAGGCCATTGGTTGATCTCTTCCCACCCACCCACCCTCCCCCACCTTCCCTCTGAGGATCCACAGTCTGTTCATGCACCTGTGTCTCGGGATCCATTTTTGATCATCAGTGTATTTGACTCATTAGGGTTAAAAGTACTCTGCTTGTGATCACTTGGGTTTTCTAAAGATGCAGTCAATCATGTACAATTTTTTTTTCTTTTTCCAAATGTACTTGTGTACTCATTGGGAATATAGATAACAGAAATAAAAGTCTGTGAACAAGTTGGGATTAGGATGCTTTTTCTTTCGTGATGTACATGATCCTGTGCTCCGCCCTGTTGAGAACACCGAGTACTGTGATTGCAGGGAGGCTCTCATTAGCAACTCATCCACATAGAGCCATAGCCTCCCTCTCCATCAACCACAGCTCCTAGGACAGACGTAGGCTCCCTTCAGTAGAGGTCGGGGCACTTGGACACCTCTCGCAGGCTTGTCTCCTGTCTTCACCCTGTGGTGCCCACCTTCCACATATCACCCTCTTGTCCTACTCCCAGGCCTTTCCATGCACTTCCTCTCATCCTGCCCCTTCTCTCCTTCCTGTCAGGAGCCTCAGGTGCTGTCCCTGTAAAATCTGTGACCCTCTCTATTGCACTGTTTCATCTAATTCTTCCACGGCATCCAGTGTTTCTTCTGCCTCGTTAATTTGGTTTGAATCTGAATGGAAATAGATCCATCTTCTATTCCATTTGTGTCCTTTCCACCCCTAGATGGTCAATGTTATGTCCTTAGTATGTAGGTATAAGATGTCTCTGTGACTGAGCTGTGAAATCTTTCTCATTTCTCTTTCCTTTTCTTTCATCTCAGGATAACTGAGCTGTGCAGTTTGTATGGAACTAAAAGCCCTGGGAGTACAGTGGTGAGCCCTATGAATTCATTTTATTCTTTATTATATTATTTGATTCCTGGGATTGAATTAAACATGAAAACATACCCTTAGATATGGAATCTGGGTTATTACCCAGAGATTTCCATGGGAGTTGACACTGAGACATGAGACATATGTGTTTATTGGTCAGTTTCCTCAACTATGAAACAAAGGTTGAACCTATCCCTTGGATCTTTTGGAGGGTGGATATGATACATCCAGAGGGATTAACTGGAAGCTTGGAAAATAAGATTGGAAGTCAACAGACACTTGTTTCCTTTCCCCGGACAGAGTTAGAAAAAAACAGCTCTTTTTATCGTAACACCAGGAAGGGCTATGCCTGTGGGAGGAGGTGCAGGGAACTGGGACTTCCTCCTTGCTCCTTCCCTGCCCTCCCTCCCTCCATCCCTGCACTGGCCCAGCTGCCATTGTGGAAATGACCAACTCAGGATTTGGCCCTGTCCATCTCTCAGGGAGGAGCATGCACAATTCTTGCAGACATGGAAGCAGCTATGGAGTAGGGAGGTGGCGGTTTTTCCCAAGGAGGGTGTTTGTGCTTTAAAGTTGACGCTCTCTTTCAACCTCCCAGCAGTGAAGGCTGAGGGTTGCTGCAGATGTTGAAGTCCTTGTTGAAGTGTCCACTCTGGAGTATTTCACAGCGGTGAGTCCACATCCGGGAGGCTGTGCAGTGAAGGTGCTACGTTCCTTTCAGAAGAAACTGAGGATCAATGGGAGTCTGTAGCTGGGGGGAGGGACCAAGAGGTCTGCCTTGTGCCCACTTGCCAGTCTCCAGACTGGTTCCCCTTGGTTCCCTGTTGGCCATTCATCGATGGGAGCATGGGAACGGGATGGGGGGAGAGGAAAGGACCTAGAGGTGCTCCATGCACTTCCTGGTGTTCGGGCCTCTGTTCGGTCATTTTGGATGTTATGGAACCTGGCCTTTTATAGTGTTGACTAGAGGCCCGGTGCATGAAATTCATGGACAGGGGTGTGTGTCCCTCAGCCCAGCCTGCACCCTCTCCAATATGCACCCTTTAAAATCTGGGAACCCTACTGGGATTGGGCCTAAATGGGCAGTCAGACACTCTCACAATCCAGGACTGCTGGCTCCCTACTGCTCGCCTGCCTGCCTTCCTGATTGCCCCTAACTGCTTCTGTCTGCCAGCCTCATCACCTCCTAACCAATCCCTTGACAACCTGATTGATGCCTAACTGCTCTCCTGCCAGCCTGGTCACCCCTAACTGCTCTACCCTGCTGATCACCCACAACTGCCCTCCCTTGCAGGCCTTGTCCCTCCCAACTGCTCTCCCTTGATAGCCATCTTGTAGTGGTCATCTTGTGTCCACATGGAGAAGCCATCTTTGACCACATGGGGGCAGCCATCTTTTGTTGGAGTGATGGTCAATTTTCATATTATTCTTTTATTAGATAGGATAGAGGCCTGTTGCATGGTGGGGGCCAGCTGGTTTGCCCTGAAGGGTTTCCCAGATCAGGGTGGGGGTTCCCTTGGGGAATGGGGTGACCTGAGCGAGAGACCTGTGGTGGTTTTCAGGCCAGCCATGCCCCCCGTGACCCAAGTGGAGGCCCTGGTATCTGAGATTTATTTATCTTGTATGATTGAAACTTTGTAGCCTTGATCAGAGCCAAGCCTCCTGCTTGCTCTGTGGCTGAAGCCATTTTTGTTGGGGTTTATTTAATTTCTATAATTGAAACTTTGTAGCCTTGATCAGAGGCCAAGGCAGGCCAGGGCTGTGGAAGCTTGGCTTCCTCCATCACTGGGGGAAATTCAAGCCTCCTTCTCTCTCCAGCTCTGTGACTGCCACCATTTTTGTTGGGATTTATTTATCTTTTATAATTGAAACTTTGTAGCCTTGAGTGGAGGCCTGATCTGGCCAGGTTGTGCAGAAAGCTTGGCTTCCTTCACTGCTGGGGAAACCCAAGCTTCCTGCTCACTCCGTGGCAGCAGTCATCTTGGTTGGGTTAATTTGCATACTCCTAATTGGCTGGTGGAAGTGGTTTGTGGGTGTGGCAGAGGGATGGCTAATTTGCATATTACTCTTTTATTATATAGGATTGTA